AAAAGTATGAAAAACACAAGCAATTGTTATCGTTCGTATAATAACAGTCATTTAAACGTACTTGGAAATGGAGGTAATTCGATTTTTTGATAAATCTAATTTTACTAAATGCTCCGTATTCAAGAAGATATAATCGGGCAAACTTTGAAGATCGTTAAAATTCAATTCCAAAATTTTGAGTCCCTTCAAATCCCGGAATATATATCTAGGTAAGGTTCGAAGATAGTTTCGTTCCAAATTGATATTAATTAACGAAGTACATCCCCAGAAGAGATCTTCCGGTAGCGTGACAAATCCGTTCCTTTTCAATTTCAACATCTCCAGTTTCGTTAAATTAGCGAAAAATGCATCTGGCAAGGTAGTCATATTTCGCTTGTTCTCAAACAGAGTAAAAATGCGTAGTTTCATGTTATTTCGTAACAGATTCCTCGGTAAATTTGTGAAATTGTTTCGAAATAATTTGAGATCCCTGAGGTTTTTGAGCTTTGCGAAGATGTCTTCCGGTAACTTGACCATGTAATTCGTATTGAGATCGAGGCTCTTGAGAGCGACGAGCTCGTCGAAAATTCCCGACCGAGGCTCGGTTAAATGATTTTCCGATAAATTGAGAAACAACAGATTTATCAGATTGTCGAATGTACCTGGTTCTATCGATTGCAGAGCATTATCGCTCAATTCGAGCAACTGTAATCCGGGGATGTTGTTGAAAAATCCTATGATTTTTATATCGCTTGGCACACTAGTCAAGTTTTTGTGAGAGCAGTCGAATATGAACGCTCTGTCCTCGGGTCTTAAAAAACAGTCGCACTTTTCGGGACACACTTTGGGTTCCTTTAGCACACACGTGAATGTTTTAGAATTCAAGTCCGTAACGCGCACATTCTTCAACTCGTCCGGGCTTTGGCAAGTTAAATTTCCTGGTATTATGTGGAAATAATTTTGGACTTTAGGATGCATTCTGCCCTCGATATAACGCAGAAAGTCGTACAATCGACAATCGCATTCTAACGGATTATCATCTACTAATATTATCGCGTCTTGAGAAGCCTGTGTATCAATTACTGTGAATTCGGCATCGCGTAGGAAGATGTGCTTTATTTTATTGTGAGTCAAATCCACTTTGATATTACTCGATAGAAACTGCATATCTGTAGTCTGAAATTAGAAAAGAAAAAGTACCGTCA